TCAAATTTATCAAATTGTAGCAATTTACCCTTGTTTCCATAATCAAGAATTGTTTTCTTTTTCATTTTTCTCTAGTTGAGTTCTGATTATTAAGCCATTGAGGCTAGGTCAGATGGGTACTATGTGCAAGTTTGGATATTCTTGTGCATCTCCCCTCACTTCATGTCAGCTGGCTGCTTCACTCTCAGCTCTAGCTCTCTGTGGTATCATATACTTACACTAATTCTGATTTTAATGCTTTTTCATCTGTATGTGTGTTTTATTTTGTTTAATAGATTTTAATTTTTATTTTATAGATGAGGTATGGCAGAATTTAGATAATAAAATATTATTGTGACTTATAGTCCAAAAATAAAAGGGCATGTAGTTTTTCTGTGTCAGGATGGAATTTAGGGTAGGAAATATCTAGCTTAACAGCTGCAATCGAAGCCCTGAAAATTATCCCTTAAAAGCTCACTTTGTGCTTATGCTATTTATTTTCTCTTTAAAAACAGATATTAACAAACTGACTGAAGATAAGAAAGAAGGCCTCAGGCAACTTGCAATGACATTTCAACATTTCGTGAAAGAAGAAATAGAGGATGCTTCTCAGCTCCCACCTGCCTTTGACATTTTTGCAGCCTTTGCAAAAGTAAGTATTAAGTTTTGTATCTTTGCTAGTGTTGTAAATCAACCTTTTGCATCTAATTTTGTTGTTAGCTGCATGAAAGTCTGGAACCTACCTGGAAAATCCAGGACTCTCATGCCTTTTGCACCTCAATGAGTAGAGAATGTATTCGTGTTATCCATGTTGAAAAGGATATTGCTTTTCTGTTTTAACAGTATTCTTATTAATAGCCTGAGCACAATTCCTGAATGTCTCAAGAGAAAGCCTCATATCCCATTATTTCCTACTAATGAATTTAAGTTTGAGACTCCATTCGTTTTGTTTCTGGTGGTTGTTTCAGTATAGAGCCTGATAACAATTTAGTTGAATCCATAAGTCACATAAGAACATAACAGTTTCTGATTTAAAAGTAATTGTCTAAAAAATCTGTTGATATGTTTTGGTCACTAAATTACTAGGTCAGTAATAGAAACTAGTTTCATTTGGTATTTGGCCTGTGGTTTGTCGGTAGTGAGGACCTAAAGCGCTCTTTCTGAAAATGATTCGGAGGGTTTGTTTGGGCCAAGAGAGGAAGATTATCATGATGGATTCTTGACTTTGTCCTGGATTGGGGATGAAAGATCAGCTATGTACTTTCACTGTGTATTTTTTCTGTTCTTGCTCTCTCATGTTATGTATTTGGATTTTCAAAAATCATGATCACATTTTAATAATAGGTTAAAATATAACATTTGAGGATGGTTTTGTCAATTTTTTTTGTTATTTTAAAGCAGACAGTCAATGACATTTATCTCATGAACATTTTTAAGTAATGTTTTTAAATGTGCTTGCTTTTTAACAATTGAAATGTAGTTGATTTGTATGATCACTAGAGGTTAATTTTTATTTTTCCACAATTTTTAAAAATGATTTTCTGATCATATCATCTTAGCATTAAAAATTATGGTTTGTCTATAATCTACAATTGATTTTAACACATAATACTTATAATATTTTATAAGTAGTATATGTTTTATATGTTTCTGTCATACGCTTCCAAAAATACAACCTGCCTTCTTGTCGTTGTTAAGTGTCATTGAGTCGGTTCCGACTCATAACATTTCTGAGGAGCAGCTGGTGAGTTTGAACCGTAGACCTTGTGGTTGGTAGTCCAGTGATTATCCTACAGTGCCACACCAGGACTCATAACCTGTCATATACCATGTATACTATGCACACTGGCTCTTTTGCTGTTAAGCAGTATAAAAAGTAACACCAACTCAGAGAAAAAAATGTACCTTAAAATACATATGTATATATATGAGGGAGCTTCAAAAAGTTAGTGCAAAAATTCCATTGTTTTCCTATTTCATTTTTCAATGAATTTTTTGAAGCCCCTTTGTGTATGTACACTCACACAAACACATTATAATGAGTATAACTTCATTCCTAGCATTAAGTTCATAAATGTACAATTGCTAATTACTGGTGTTATTAATATTCATTAAAATGTTTTAAATGTTTGCTATTGCTTTATGTGAAATGTGTAATTTCATTTATCTTGCTGCTTTCAATTAGTTTTAATATTAAATTATCTTCCAATGAAATTATATTTTTGTCTTGTAGAGGGGAAATTATATCTCTCTGATTAAACTGACAAAGTTTTAATAATATGCTTTGCTCCTCCCCAAGTACTTGTGTTTGTTATTACTATAAAGTAGAAAATATCTATCTTCAAGATTTTGTTGGGGATTTGTCCTTAGGTGCATGATTTCTGCCTTAAAATGTAGGTTTAACAGTCATCAGAGGGAATCACTTAAAAGTGATCCCTTTATTTCTAAAGAATAGAATCGTTTCTATTGAGCTAATTGGTATCCTGCAAATCTCAGGGATGAGCTACTGAGCTCATGCCACTAGCACATGATAATACAGATCATTGTTAAGTACAATGGAAGTGGTTGGAGAGTACTGGGCAGAGAATTTTCTCTTTCTCGACTGCTCTATTTTACTGGGATAAAAGTAATCAAAGAGGAGAAATGGACACCTCCTGGCATATTGTCTTCTGTCATTGCTTCTGTATGTACAGATTATCAGGTATACTTATATTCTGCCTTGTTTTTTTCCATCCAGTGAATTTTGTTTTGAATTCATGCTTTGACAAAGGCTGGCTTTAACTGGCCGCAAATATGATCCTTATTTTCTGTTTTGCTTTTGGCTTTACTCTCATTAAGTTTCTGTGCAGGTATTCAGCATGCTTACCTTATGCTGTAGCTAGCTCATTTGTCATTACATATGGAATTCGGAAAGTCTATTCTCTAAATTTGCTCATAGTTGTTGTTGTTGATAAGTGCCATCTAGTCCGACTTATAGAGACCCTATATAGGGTTTCCCAGGAGTGACTGGTGAGCTTGAACTGCTTACTTTGCAGTTCCAACTGACCTTGCAGACCAGTATATATCGTGGGAGAAAGATGAGACTTTCTGCTCCCGTGAAGAGTTAAAGCTTTAGAAACCCTATACTGGGTCACTGTGAGTTAGAACCTCCTTAACGACACTTAACAACAATACATTATATTTATATCTGTATCTATATATAGGAGTGCAATAGCTCAATATGATAAGCACTGAGCTGCAAACCACCACTTGAGCCTGCTCCACAGGAGAAAGATGAGACGTTCTGCTCACGAGAAAATTTAAAGCCTTGGAAACCCTATGCAGAGTTGCTATGAGTTGAAACCAATTGGTTGGCATTTAATGTATATATTTTAGGAGCACGGTGGCTCTATACAGTGAGCACTGGACTGCTAACCACAAGGCTGTGGTTCAAGCCCACCAGCCACTTGAAATGAGAATTTGAGGCTTTCTGTTCCCATAAAGATTTACAGTTTCTGAAACCCTATATAGGTTCACTGAGTCAGAACCAACTAGACAGCACTTAACAACAACAACATACATATATTTATTAGGGACATTTTCAAAAACACCCAAAAATAGAGAGATAAATATAATGAAACTTAATTTATCCATCACCTGGTTTCAGTAATTTTCAAGCTTGTTTTAAATGTTATATCTTTAATAATTAGATCTCATATAGCTGTTCTTTTTCTCTATTTTGGTTTTTAGACATTTGTTAAAATGATTCTTTTGTTACCAAGTCTCTTGGTCTTTTGAGAGGAGTGCATTTGTGAATTCACTTACTATATTAAGATTACACTTGCCTCAAAAGGAAAGGAGTGAGTGGAAGATGAAAAAATTTTTCATCCTGAGATATGAGCTGATGGCTTTTTCTAATGTTGTTGTTGTCAGGTGCCATTGAGTTGGTACCGACTCATAGCGACCTTATGCACAGCAGAACGGAACACTGCCTGATCCTGGGCCATGCTTGAACCCATTGATGCTGCCATTTTGCCAGTCCATGTCACTGGGGGTCTTCCTCTTTTTCTCTGACCCTCCATCTTACCAAACATGATATCCTTCTCCAGAGACTGGTCCTTCCTGACAATATGTCCAAAGTATGAGAGACGAAGTTTGACCATCTTGGCCTCCAAGGAGTACTCTGGCTGCACTTCTTCCAACACAGATCTGTTTGTTCTTTTGGCAGCCCATGGCACTTTGAATATTCTCCTCCAACATCATAGCTCAAAAGCATCAATTCTTCTATAGTCTTCCTAATTCACTATCCAGCTTTAGCATACATATGAGGTTATTGAAAATACCATGGCTTGGGTCAGGCATACCTTAGTCTTCAAGCTGACATCTCTGCTCTTCAACACTTTCAAAAGGTCTTGTGCAGCAGATTTGCCTAATTAATGCGATACGTCATTTGATTTTTGACTGCTGCTTCCATGAGTGTTGATAATTGATCTAAGAAGAATGAAGTCCTTCACAACTTCAATGTTTTCTTCATTGATAAGAATGTTGTTTATTGGTCCAGTGCTGATGATTTTTGTTTTCTTTACATTGAGATGTAATCCATACCGAAGGCTGTGCTCTTTGATCTTCATTAGTAAATATTGTAAGTCCTCTTCACATTCAGCACGTAAGGTTGTATCATCTGCATATCGCAGGTTGTTAATGAGTCTTCCTCCAATCCTGATGCCACGTTTTTCTTCATAGAACCCAATTTCTCAGATTATTTGCTCAACATACAGGTTGAGTAAGTATGGTGAAAGAATACAACCTTGTTGCACACCTTTCTTAATTTTAAAAACCATTCAGTGTTCCAATGTTCTGTTTGAATAACTGCCTCTTAGTCCAGGTACAGATTCCTCATGAGCACAAGTAAGTGTTCTGGAATACTCATACTTTGCATGATCCACACAATCGAAAGCCTTTGTGTAGTCAGTAAAGCACAGGTAAACATCTTTCTGATATTCTTTGCTTTCATCCAAGATCCATCGGACATCAGCAATGATATCCCTTATTTGACTGCCTCTTCTGAATTCGTCTTGAACCTCTGTAAGTTCTCAGTCAATGTATGCTTGTAGCCGTTTCTGTATTACTTTTAGTAAAATTTTACTCGTATGGGATATCAAAGATATCATCTGATTATTTCCACATTCCACTGGGTCACCTCTCTTTGGAATGGGCAAAAATACGGATCTCTTCCAATCAGTTGGCCAGATAGTTGTCTTCCAAATTTCTTGGCATAAATGAATGATTGCCTTCAGTGCCACCTCACTTTGTTGAAAGATTTCAATGTTTATTCTATCAATTCCTGGTGCCTTGTTCTTTGCCACTTCCTTCAATGCACTTTCGACTTCTTCCTTCAGTATCATTGGCTATTGATCATATGCTACCTCTTGAAATGGTTGAACATCAACCATATCCTTTTGGTACAGTGACTCTGTGTATTTCTTCCATCTTCTTTTGATGCTTTCTGCATCATTCAATAATGCACATAGTGGTTACGAATTGGGCTGCTAACCTCGAGGTAGGCAGTTTGAAACTACCAGCTGTTCTGCGGGAGAAAGACAAGGCTTTCTGCTCTCGTTAAAGATTTGTTGCCTCAGAAACCCTTGGCAGGGTCACTATGACTCAAAACCT